CTCATGTCTGGGCAAGGGAAAACGCCCAACGCTGCTCTGAGAAGGGATAACCCCATCCCTGACAGCAGCAGGGGGAGAGCCGGGCCTGGCAGGAAGGCCAAAGAGTTACACACCGGCTCCTACAGTCACACAGGGCCTGGGGCACAGGGACACCCAGGAATGGCTCCTCCAGCTGCTGCCACCTGTCCCTGTCACAGCCCTGCCACAGCTGCCTGGGGACCGGCACCGCTCCAGGGAGGGGGTGGGTGCAGCACAGGGGCATCCTGTTCCCTAGGGACAAGGCACGAATTTAAACAGGATGAAAACCATCCACTGGAGATAAGGGAAGATGTAGAGTTATTACTGAAACTGAGGAAGTCATTTGGAAGTGGCAAAGCAGCGCATGGCCCGACCCTGTTTGGTGGCTGCGGAACCGGGACCGGCGCAGCTGGACAGGGACTGGCACCGGAGCTGGACCAGCCTCTGTGCCAGAAACACCATGACAGCACAGCAGCTTCCACTCTGTATCCTGGCAGATACAGAGTGGGACCCACTATTCCATGGATAATGGATAATACTGTTGTCCCGGAACATTTTTTTTTTTTTTCCTTTCTCCTGTTTTCCAACTTGCATTCCTGTATTTACAACAGCTGTCAGCACTGGGGATCCCGCTCACTGAACACTCCCAGGAGTGTTCAAACAACAAATCTGGTACCTTCTGTGCAGCCAAAGCAACAAGGAGCCAGTCAAAGAGGGTGACCAGAACCCTCTGAATGGTCTTCACAGCTTTCCAACCCAAACTACTCCATGATTCCATGAGCATGATCAGGCAAAACCACATCCAAGGGAAAGTCTAACAGCCAAACAACTCCTATCTCCCTGCAAACACTGCAGTCCCACAGCAGAGCCCACACAGGCCAGCTCTGCCCACAGCCACACTCCCCACACACTCTTCCTGTAGTTGACAACTTTCCTGGAGAAGCTGACAGCTCCTTCTCGAGCTGTTCAGAACAACTACTCCCAGCATGACTGGTGGAAGATCCCCCAACACACCAGCCTGGTCTGCCCTCAGCCATGGCAGCTCTACTCTCTCCAGGTCTTTCCTCTCACTGCACCAGCCATTCCCCCTGGCGGACCCTGGGCAGGAGCTGCCAGGCCAGAGCTGGCCAGGAGTGACACCAAAGAGCAGGAAGTGTCTGACCACACCTGATCATGTCCATCCCACCGTGCCTGTGCCTCAGGGGCAGCACCTGAAGCACCTGCCTCCTGCACCTCCATCAGCTCTTTGTCCTTCTAGAAGCAGCTCAGGGACAACACCCCTTAAAGACTACAATCACAGTGTCTGTGGCAAATCCCTACATCCAGTGGCTCCCGTGGAGCCAGAGGACATGCAGGGGGGCTGTGAGCAGCTGGAGCAGTGGCACTCCTGTTTCCTATGGCTACACACAACCACAACCCACAGATAATAACCTCCGTGTGTGGAGGTAACGCTCCAAGCAACACTCATCTGAGCACATTTTTTGGAAAGAAGTAGTCCCATGCCCCCAGGTCGTGTGGAGGTCACAATGCCACCTGTGCTGCTGCTGCCCTGAGGTGCTGGATGCCACCAAAACCTGCTCAGCCCCGCTCTGTGCAGAGGGGAACAGGGACAGAGCTCAGGGCATCCTAGTGGAGGGTGCCCCTGCCTATGGCAGGAGGTTGGACTCGATGGCCTTTAAAGGCCCCTTCCAGCCCAAACTGTTCCATGGTTCTGTGCCTTCACTTTGACTCACATAATAACGCTCCGTAAAAAGTCTTGGCACTCACCATATGAATATTTAACTACATTAAATCATGCATTCATGTACAGGTTATAAATAGCTGCTGTATACGTTTTCTCTCCCAGAAGCACAGCCATCCCACTCCTGCGCTCAAAGGAATGGGTTCACTCATAGCTTGGAGAGAAAGAAGGGAGGAAGGAAGCAGATTGCACTTCCCTGGGGCAGGAGGAAATGAGAACAAACCCACTGACAGACACAGGACACGGCTGCACTCAGCAATGGGAGACTGAGAACAGCCCAGACTGTACAGTGACAACAACACACAGAGAACGAGACATCATGGATCTGGAACACCACTAAACAAGCCCTGTAAACTGATTTACAGTGCCAGGAGAGCTGGGGGAGGACTGATGTGCATAGACCAGGGTTTCGGTTCCCCAGGGATTCACCATTTTGGAGCCTGAAAGGTGCCAGGACCCAAATGCTCTTGGTGCACCTGGGTGGGTTCAATCCCTCACACTGGTGTGAAGGACCTTGGAATAAACATGGTAGAGTCGGGTTTAGAAAGTATTACTCAGCACTGGCTCACTTGAAAAGCTGAGTTTCAAGTGAGTTGTAAAATACTCTATTCTGCAGTGCTAAAATTTAAGCCCTTAAATTTTCCCTCTACGAAAGCAGATTGTCAAGAATCCTGACCAAACACCACAGCAGGACCACGACAGCACTGTCTCTGCTGGAACCACTGGGACCTTGCAGCCCCACGCTGGTCCCTGTCCCGCTGGAAGGACACGCACAGCCCTCGGGAGGGAGGAAGACAAAGACATGGCATTCAGAGCCATCACCTCGTGCAGTAACTCACTGCAGTGTTTGTTCCTGCAGAAGGAAGGTAAGTCAGGTGTCACACAGAGTCAGTGTCAGGTTCTCTCTCTGCACAGCCCGGCCTGTGAGCACCAACATCCCTTCTCCGAGCAAACTCTGGCCTCCAATGGCCCCGCACTGCCAGGTCAGCCCAGGACCCAGCCATGGCCCCACTGCCCCTCACTGAGCACCAGCCCAGGATCCCCAGACACGGCCCTGCTGCCTCTTGCTCCCCTCACACCCCATGCTGAGCATGAACCCTCCACAGACAGAATGAACTCACAGAGCACCCGAGCAAAAAGGTTCTCCGCTCTCTAGAGAACAGGGGAGAATTCCAGGAGCAGAGCCCTCTCCCAGGTAAGATCCTGCTGCAACACCACCTTTTAGGTGAAAACCAAACCCATCTGGACAGGGCTCTGGGCCAGAAGCTCATCCATCCCTCCAGCTCCCATCCTGACACTGCACGAGAGAAGCGAGTACACACTGTCAGTTCAGAGCTGGGCTTTGCATTTCCTTGCTGCTTTGGATGAGTAAATCACTGCCAGAAGAAAACCACTTGGCCAGGTTAACCAACCAGCCCAGCTGCTGCACACCAGGAGCTCGGCACTGCACATCTCAAACCACCCACAATCCCTGCCTGGACTTCACTTGGCAATGAAAGACTCACCCACATCATGGATCAGTAACAGGAAATCACACATCAAGCTCAACAAAATCAAGTTTAGCACAAATATGAAATATTCAAGTGGATTAATTAAAAAAAGTACAGTGAAGGAATTCAGCCCAGAGCAAATTCAATATTCCCTTAAACAGGACAATCCTGGGAACACAAAGCCCTTAATTCCAGCTGCATCACAGGGAATTCTCACATAAGCTGCTCTTTAAACTCAAAGCAGCATTTCTCTGATACAGAATTTTAAGCTCACACATTATCACTGAAGTTAATGCCCGAGTGGACCTTGGGAGAACCATGGGGAAAAAAAAGAAATAAAAAGAGCCAAAAATCCAGCTGGCAGGTGAAACAGGATTGTATAAAACTGGATTGAGTGTTGGCAATATTTCCAAAAAATTAAGATAACTTACAAGTTACTCAAAACCCTGGACATGCTGCTTCAGAGCCAACCAAAATAAACCAGGAGATTCCTTCACCCTCTCACACATGGAGATTCCGGGAAAATTCCAGGAAATCCTCTGTGCTGAGGGGCAGGAGCAGCTGAAAGCATGGGCCAGCATGGAGGGACCAAAAGATTCAAAGCTTTATTTTTTTTTTTTTCTTTTTTAATAAAGTTAACAGTAAAACAAAATTCACAAGCCTTCCCCTCCCGAGCTGGTTTCCTCTTCACGCACACAACACACAAACAGAGGCTCCAACCCAGAAATGAAACTGCTCTAAGGACAACGAGACGTGATGGAGGAGGAGTCTGGGGCTGTCCGTATTCGAGGTTAAAAGAAGCAGATCAGGTATGTGTGGTTTTATTTGTGTTTGTTTGCTTCTTAGCCAAACTGGAAAAAGAAATTTCCAGGACCAGAAGCTGAAAAAGAAAACGGGAGATATCAGGACTTTCCAAACTCAAAACAGTTCAGTGCAATCCGAAGCAGCGCATGGATGGCCACGCCCACACACACCTCCAGAACAGGGAACACCCGGCCCTTGTGGCTTTTGAACCCAAAACAACCAGAAGCAGCCACCAGCCGAGGCTGTACAGGCAGAACTTTCCATGCTCTCCTTAAGCAGCACATCCACTGGGAGCCCCAGCTGCCCTGTCAGGGATTCCATGTACTTACGACTCCAAGGCTGGCAGGAGCACACCTCACCTACCTTCGAAGCTGAAGCCTCCCGGCCCGCCGAAGAAGGCCTTGAAGATGTTATTTGCATCAAAGTCTACAGGGAAGAGAAGGAATTCATGAGCTGCAGGGAAGCAGCCAGTTACACTCCCACAGTTCAGGAACTGTCAGTTCACTGAGAGGGTTTCAAAAGGGGCGAGCAGGGTCACAGGGCTGGCTCCGAGCCCTGGCACAGCAGCAGCAAACAGGTAAAAGCAGCCGTCACAGGGAGAACCTGTCAGGAGGCAGCCTAAGGGTTTGGATAAACAGCATTTAGGGATCCACAGTTACACTACTTTACATGTCCTGTGATAGATTTTTGCCTAATGGTAGCTACTGCCCACCAACTCAGCCAAAGACAACACCCACCAGTGTCCCAGCCATTTCCCAACTGGAAACACTCAGTGCAAGCTCTGCCATCCCAATGCTTTCAGCAACCAAACTGAATCAATTAATGGAGTTATTCCCAATGGGAGGCTTGCTTTAGGGCCTAAGGCAGACTCTTAAGGATCTGATCTTGTTAAAGGCTGCCATGCCAGAGTATCTTAAGGAACACTGACCTCCCATGTTCAATCCATCCTCTTCCAGATCCTGCCCGCTGTCGTAGCGGGCCTTCTTCTTGGGATCTGACAGGATTGTAAAGGCTTCACCAACCTCCTTAAATTTCTTCTCCTCTTCTTTCTGTACTTCTGCACTTGCCCCACTGTGTCGATCTGTGGATACAAAAACAAGCAGGAAGAAGCTATTAATTTCTAGTGCAAATGGAAAACATTAAACATTCCCAAGCTCCTGTCCCAGCACATGCTCTAAATCTGTGGGGTCAGAGCTGCCATTTGTCCAGAAATTCCCACTCCCATATGCATTGCTGCCTCAGTGATGGCTGTGCAGGGCACACAGGGACTGCTGTGGGTACCTGGATGGTGCATTAGTGCTCGTTTCCTGTAAGCCTTCTTGATCTCATCTTCAGAGGCATTTTTGTCCACCCCCAGGATTTTGTAGTAGTCTTTCCGTTTGCTCTTTTTCAGTTCCACCTGTGCGTTCTTTAGGAGCTGTTTGTGTTCTGGAAAAGAGCACAAGGCCAGAGGAGAGGGGTTACTTTGTCCTTCCCACTTCAGGCCACTGAAAAAGCAAGGGGACAGTTAAAATGAGAACCAAAACCAGATATTCTGAACCCAGTGCACTGTCTCAGCCACAAGCTCAATTATCATCTCAGCATTCAATGCTGGGAGAGAAACCAGACCTCAGATAGGCATTTCCAGTGCTTCCAAGGGCTTCTCCATACTGTCCTGCTGGGGTAAAAGGCTGCAAATCAGAGCATATTGTGGGGAAAAAAGCAACAACAAAAAAAATTGGCAGGTAAGGGAAAAGTGGGAACACACATAGAGTGCCCATGTGCTCACCTTTTGTTTTCTCTGTCTGATAAACCTTCTCATAGTCTCTTACAGCATCTTCATATTGTTCTGTGTCCATGTAACTGTGGAAAGAAACACTGGTGGTCAAGGTGTCCTTCATAGGAACATCAAAAAGGGCTCAGTACAGCTGTCTGGGTGGATGTTGATTAAGGAAGAGAAGTGCCCTGGACTGCAGCAGAGTCATCAGAGGGGCCCACACAAGGCCCCTGCCAGGGAGCCCAGACACTTGTGGGAGCTTCCCTCATCTCCTCAGCAGCGTGAGGAAGAGGGATAAACTGAGGACCCCTCAGTGCAGAACCTTCCATTCAGTTAAACTCCAGATTTGTGACCCTGTCCCTCAGAGCTGCCAGGAGGGCGCTCCTGCCCACACACCTGCTCAGGTGCCCGTGCCAAGGTGCACTCACCACTGTGCCCTCCTCAGGTACGCCTTGATGTACGTGTCGTCCAGCTTCACCGCGTTCGTGCAGTCGTCGATTGCTTCTTCAAGTTTCCTAAGCTACAAGGGCAGACACAAGTGAGCAAATCCCAGACAGAGAACAAATTCTGCATCACGCTTTCAGGCAAAGGAAAGGTGTGAAGAATCTGGGAAAATCTCACTGGTTTCTATGTCCAGGAATTTTTTTTTTTTAATTCTCCCAAAACACTGAGCTTTTGCTCCCTTGGAAAAAACGAGAAGCTTGGTCAGTGACATGGCAGAGCTTCGTGGTGCTTCTGTGTAAGAAATGCACTCAAAAACAAGGGTTTTCCTGAAAACAACCCCAATTCTGTATCCAAGCTAATTCCCAGACAGCAAGATAAACTTCAAAATATTTAAAAGAAATCTTTTTTAGAAAAAGAATTGTTTGTTTTCAGACACAAACAGCCATGTAAAACATCCATTATGTTGTCTCCAGCTCATCCCACTTCCCAGGTTTCGGGAACAGCCTGTGTTCTCTTGACTGAGTGCTGATGTCTGGGGAGCAGCATCAACAGAGGGACAGCTGAGAAGGAAACATGCCCAGAAGACATGTTTCTGGATAGGAACTGGGAGCACTGACACATAACTGATTGCCTCTCTGGATAGTGCAGGACTAAAATTCAACAGCAAAGCTGGAAGAAGTGTCTAGGGGCTTTAAAGTAGGTCTTTTTTAAAGATCAAAAACCAAACCAAGACATGACTTACAAGAAGAATTAAGAAAATAAAGCTGCTCATTCCCAGGAAGGAAAAACAGGGACAGGGATGCCTTTTGCTGACTAAGATAAAGCTACAGCACGTCCCTCCTCTCCCTCCCACTCTGTGCAGCCCAAGTATTTGAGTTTTGTTTCTGCAGGAGTCAACTGCTGGCTGATGGGAACTGACCCAAGTGTTGTGCAAGCACAAATCCCTGACACACTGCCCGTGGCTCCAGAGAGATGCAGCTGCTAGGCAGCCAGAGGAGCCTGTGCTTCCCAGAACAACTGATTTGTGGTTTATCACTGACATGGTGAGGGATATGACAACAGACACCTGCCAGGTGACCGTCCCTTACCTTTGAATTAACTGTCCCCCTGTTACAGTAGAGTTTGGCATTTGTTTTGATATTATTTGGGTCTATTCCTAGTGCCTCTGTGTACAGTTCATATGCTAGTTTGTAGTTGCCTTTCTTGAATGCTTTATTCCCGTCTTCCTTCTTCGCTTTAAGTGCTTTGGCATTCTGAAAGGAAACACACCCGGGTCAGGACACAAGGTCAGGGTTCAAGGGGACCAAAGCACCTTGTTCTGCTGGACAAGGGCCCTCAAACATAACAGTTCTAATTTGGTTTCAAACACTGCTGCAGGACACAAGGCACAGCCTTGCTCCAGCAGCTGAAATGAGTTGGAAGCACTTTGACTTTCCCCCAGGAGAAGCACTAAGGAAGAGCCAGTGCCAGTTCCAGGCATTCTCCACAGCAAAAAGGTTGCCTTAATTTTTAAGATGGGAACACGACAGTGCAGTAAATTTATGGATTAAAATAAAAGGACTGAGAGTTCACTTTTTGAGGGCTTATACATGTGGACACATCAGAAAAGTCAGTTGAAGAACTACACCAGGAAAGGAGCAACATGAAGGAACAGTGTTAAATGCAAGTCAGGCTGTGGGCGGATACTGGATAGGAAAGTCAGGAGTTCCTTTAGAAATGATGTATCTGGGAACAAAGAAGAGTGAAGGGGAAGCAGCTTCAAAGTATCACAATCTCCTGAGAAACAGCTTCTGGCAACTTGGGTTTATCGGGTTGTCTACGGGAAGGGCTGGATACACCGCCTGCTCCTGGAAGTCTGGGAATGATAATGCTGAGAGAGGGAGAAGGGATCGATCCAGTCAAATCAAGTCAGGTGTTTGCTTCCAAAAAACCCAGATCCTGGTAATTTTGCAGTCCCTTCTCCACCACTTACCCGGCAGGCAAGACAGGCCTTCTCGTGGTCCGGGGCCATCCTGAGGGCCTGCACGAAGAACTGCACGGCCTTCTCGATGCAGTCCTCGTAGTACAGGCACAGCCCGCGCACGTACAGCGCGTCGGCGTTCGTCGAGTCCATCCGCAGGATATCACTGCAGCAACAGCAAGGAAGGAAATGTTCCCCGTTCCCGCCTCCTTCTAACCTCCACAAGCACCTTCCTCTGCTCAGCTATCCAGTTATTTTATCAAGTCCACGGTACAGATGAGCCAAAAGGACGTGAACCTGCTCGAGCAGGACGGTTGGCTGGGAACAGGGTGTGGATGCAGCTTCCCGGGAAGATTAACAGGGATAAACTCACACACTCCTCCTCCTCCTCCTCACAGTGTGCATTAAGGACTATTTCTTTTTTATATTCCCTCATTTACTCCGGGTGTGGAGCACAGGCAGCAGCCAGGACACCCCCTAACCCTCAGACACTCACCTGGCCACAGACTGAGCCTCGGGGTACCGGCCCAGCAGCGCCAAACACTCGGCCTTGAGGATTTTGAACCGGTGACATGCGGGAGCAAACTCCAGAGCACGATCCATGCAAAACACAACCTGGGGTGGGAAAAGCCACAGGTGTGAGCACAGCAAAGACCAACGGCCTAGTCCGAACAACTGCACCACGTCTGGGATTTGTGTTTGACCGAGAAGGTGAGTGTGGTTGCTGGAGACACATTCATTGGAAAAATTTTCCCCATGTGCAGGTTTTTCGTCTTTTAAAGGGCTTTGTGTGCCAAGATCTGAGGCACCTGCTGTGTTACTGTGACAGAGCACTACACAAGACTCAAGGGACACCTGTAGGAGGTCCACCCCTTTAACTCTTCTAAACTGTAAGCCCTAAAGAAAGAGCCAAAGAGGACAATCCTGCCCCTGTTTCCTGTAGTATAAAGACACTTGGAAGAGACAGCAATTCAATAGATTGAGACAGTTTGGACTGGAGAAAACACAAAAAAGTACAGTACAGGGGCTGATCTTCCACTGGCCTGCCAGCCATGGGCAGGGTGAGCTAATGGGTCTTTTCCATCCCTGCTCTCGGCGGGGACATCTGCATGAGAACGGGGCATTGTTCCCAAGGTTCATCTGCTCCCCAGCCCGTGACATCACGGGGCTCTGCTGTGGGAAGCACTGTGCTCCAGAGCCAAGGGCTCCTGGGAGAGGCAGGAGCAGGAGCAGCTCTCCAGAAACAAAGATCACGTCTCATGTGAGCCTCCCCAGTGGAGTGGGACCAGGGAAGTGAGGGACAGACACAGGATGTCCAGCACAGGCATGGCAATTCCTACACATGAAATTCAGATTGACCACACATCCCATTTGCTCCTCAGAAACAAGGGGTACAACGATGGGATTTACCCTTCCAAAATCTTGAGCTTAGCCTAAGAGTCAGTGACCTGAACAGCAAGCTCAGTGTGCCAGACAATCTCCTTTTGAGCACAAGTCCTATGAGGAGAGGCTGAGGGAGCTGGGGTTGTTTAGTCTGGAGAAGAGAAGGCTTTATCCTCATCACTCTCTTCAACTACCTGAAGGGAGGTTATAGCCAGGTGGGGGTTGGTCTCTTCTCCCAGGCAACCAACAATAGGACAAGGGGACATGGGCTCAAGTTCTGCCAGGGGAGGTTTAGGTTAGAAGAAATTCTTTACAGAGAGGGTTATCAGGCATTGGAACGGTCTACCCAGAGAGGTGGTGGATTCACCATCCCTGGAGGTTTTTAAAAAGAGACTGGATGTGGCCCTTAGTGCCAT